TGCAAGTCACCAGAAAGCAGCACAGAATAGCCATGGGAAGGCACCCCAGGTAGGTGTCAACTAAGATGCCTAGCCCCAGGTGACATAAGTTCAGAAGGGGTACAGGGAGATGGAGACATTAAGACACAACCTGTAAGCAGATGCCCTGAACACAGAACAAGCAAACAGGGAGGCAAGAAAGGGATAACGACCTGGCCCACATCTTGTTTGGAGACCCCAACAGGAGAGAAGGCTGAACTCTAAGAACAAAATTTCTGCTGGGCGATTCCAATTCTTCACCTCCCTACCTGCCTCCAGATGGCTGGAAGGGACCCATATCCTTGACAGATGCATAACCAGGGTGAGGAGGGTGTTATGGGGGGGGGGGCAGAGGAAGTGACATCTGAATAAGCTTCTAGCAAGTGGCTTCTTCCCAGATAAATTTGCATAGGTGGGAGGAAGTGTTTCAGGTTGGCACTGGCAACATTCCAGATGGACAGAGACCACAAAGAAAGGAGGACTCAAGCTGTCTAGGTCAGGGGTCACAGAGGTCCCTCAGTAGAGCCCCACTGAGGAGCTGGAGAAGACCAGCAAACAACCGAGCTCCAGCTCCCCACAGAGCACCAAAGAGCATGGCATGCGCACACAGGCGTGAACAAACATCACCCTTGGCGTCCATCACCCGTGTATGCCCCTCATAGCCCCACCCTACACTCCACATCAACAGAAAATCTTGGGGACGGTGCAGGTGGCACATGGTCTGAGCCTGGCCTCGCTGGGAAGTACCAATGGGGGGGCATCTCTAGCAAGGACACGAGAGGGCTTGAGTTCTGGAGTCCGAGTGGTGTGGACATCTAGAAATACTGATAACAATGGAAAGATTCAGCACTTGCCAAAATCCAAGGCTGGGCCTTACAGCCAAATGTAGACCAGCCCACTGGTCCATGTGCCTCAGAAAACATCTGAGACTGGAGTGGTCACGTGTGAAGGCTCCCTCAGTTAGGGTCACAGTGGCCACAGAAAACAAAGCATGAGGGAGCAAGGGCATGGACGGCCAGCAGACCATCAGGCTGGAGAAGAGAGTGCTGGGGTCTGGCTCAACCTGTCCACTCAGCTTCTCCTCCAGCAGATGAAGAGAGGCCCTCCTGCCTGGAGCCAGCAGGTGGGGCAGAGCTGGGTAATCCTGTAATTACAGAGTAGACTCCAGCCTCAGTCACAAGAAGCAGATGAGCACTTTAGGGCCCCATCACCAAGTCAGCACTGTTCTCAGAACAACAGAATCCCCACCCAGAGCGCTCACTCTTCTTGAGAACAGCTATGTGACTCTCACTCCTGATTCAAAGTTTAACTTTGTAGGACTGATGGCCATTTGGTGAAAGGAACAAAAAGGTAATCCTAGGGCATGGCACAACCATAGATGTCAGTTCAGGAGAACGTATGGCCTCCTGACCCGCTCCACAGGCCAGTGGCCGTGGCCCTGCCCATCAGAGGGAGCTTGCCAAAGAGCCAGCAGTTGACCTTGCCAGCGTATGGAGTCTGAGTAAGGCAGCTTGTCACCTGGGGCGGTATGAGTGCTTCTCTCCTAGTCTTTCCCCAGGACAGACATATCTTTAATCAACACGCCACTTATGATGTGTAAATAATTGTGAATTACTTTTCCTTTTCTTTTCGCCCTATGAAGTGATCTTTATCCTAACCCCAAAAATGTAAGACTTAATTTAGAGAACACCTACCAGGAAGGTCAACGTTGGCCATGACTAGTGATCTGTCTAGAAGAGTAACTGACAGAGGATCTGAAGAGTCTAGAGCAACCCAGCAGGGGCAGTCACAACACCGTGTGTGTTTGTGTTGGGTTGGGGGTGAATGTGGGTCTATATGCACTTGTGCACCTATGTGTAGAGGGCAGAGGCCAACCTTGGAAGCTGCCCATCTTGGTTTTTGAGACACATTCTCTCACTGGGACCTGATGCTCAGTGCACACAGCAAGGCTGATTGCCTGTCTCGGTCTCCCGGGCACTAAAAATACACATGCCTGGCCACTACACTGCTCCCAGCTTTTTACAGGGGTTCTGGAATGGAACCCAGATCTTCACTCACGCGTCCACAGTGTCACTGCATCGTCTCCACAGTCTGCTAGAGGCTTTATAACCCCGGATCTCTGCTCCTTCCTGGGAAAGCAGCCACAGTAGCAACTACGCTGCTTCCCTGTAGACTGGTGTGGGCATTAAAGAGATCAGGAATGGACAGGGCCTCGCCCCAACTCTGACCCTTTCTAGGTCCTCCACAAAATGAGAGCCACAGTAACACTACGGCTATAGTAGTTATTTTCATGACTGTAAATACATCTGGATGCTTAAGGCCTCCCTTGACGTGGGAGTAATGATTAATGGAACCCAAGATTCCAGACTACCGTATTAAAATCAGCAAGTTTGCACATTCGCAGTGTAACAACTATCCCAAGAATGTGCTCTTCTTCCTTAGGGTCTGGAGAGTTTACCACACGTAAAGACATAATCAGCTTCCCCTGTAACAAGTCTCTCAAGAGCAGCTCGCTCTCCTCTTCCTCCCATGGGAGTTTTAACCAACTTCCAAGAAGTAGGTTGGGCTGGTTTGCCAGCTTGTGGCCAGCAGACTCCTGTAACTTTGTTGCCTGGGAACCTGCAGAGCCAGTCCTCCAGGTAGTGAGGCCACTCAGGTAAAATATCCCAGCAAGTGCTCTGGGAAGGCCCAGGGGATAGGAGGTCAACTGACCAAAAAAGCAGCTTAACAAATGCCAAATCTCAAAGGCAGACACGGGGCCCTGTGGGAGACAGGCCCCAGGGCTCCATGGGCAGGGCAGTCTTCTGAGGTTCCAGGTCACAAAGAAGCAGGTGCACATCACTAGGCCAGTGAGACAGGGGTGGAGGTTCAGTCTCTTTGTTCTTTTCTCATCATTTCTTCCCCTCTCTCCTCCTGACTGGGAGGAGGCCTGTTAAGCAAGAGGAGGCCCAGATTGCACTGAGGGAGGGGAAAGGGCCTGGGGTAAGGGTGGGCTGAGGTACCCTCTCTTCCTGCCAGCAAGTGGGAAGTGCTATGTGTGCAATGGTATTTTGGGGTCTCTCAGACCATGAGAGACCAAAGCTTGCCAAGCAGCCACTCCTGTGGCTGAGACCTGGAGACTCCTGGTAGCCCCCTGCCCTAAGCCCCACTTCTCTGTTCCACCATGAAGACACTTTCTCCTGGACCACTAAGACCTCTCCAAGGTCCATTACTATAAGGAGCCTTCCAGGACAGTGTTGTCCCAACTGGTCTCAGTTGGTTGTGAAATGTTTCCAAGACTGGCTCAATCAGAGGCAGTTTCCCAACCCCAAAGGTAGTTCAACAACTGAATTCTCTCCAGGAGGTGGTGGCAAGCCACGTGGACATTGGGATTCAGAGAAAACTAGCTGCGTTACTTGTGAAACCATGGTGGGACCCCGGACCTGCCTATCCTCTCTGACAACACAGAGCTAACAGCATGGGAAGTGGCCAAGCCACAAACAGTAATGGCTCTGTGGCTCTGTGGCTCTCTTTAGTTCATGCCTCCTGCCCTTTAACTTGGTTTTTTCTAGACGCATGTTTCTTCCACATCTTTGAGCCCAGTAGCTGCCAATGTCCAGGCCTGTTTCTGTGCCCACTGCATCCATCACAAGACAGATGCTGACTTCCCAGAGCCAGCTCAGTGGAAGCCAAGATGTTGGGTTGCTGTCTCTAACTGGAGCAAAAGCAAGTGAGCCGGGGAGCTGCCTGCATCACAACTTCAGTGGGGAGATTGTGAAAACCACCCACAGCTAAGGCGAGGGCAGCCAACTTGGCCATTCCTGGCCCAGTCCATCTCCCTTCCCCCCGCTGAAGACTGCAGGCTCTGTGTTTCACTGTGAACTGGGGCACTGTCACTACTCCACCAACAAAGCCTCCAAAGGTTGAGGGTGGACATTAACGACGGACTTTCATTCCCGGCTTCCCCTCCTGAAGTGATTAAACTGCTCGCTGTAGAAGAACTTGTTAGAAAGTAAAAAGAACGGAAGGTGCTGGCGCTGGTTAAGTCGGAGTGAGAATTAATGATTAATGGGGGTAGCAACGCTCCACACAGCACACACCTGCACACTCTCCTCTACCAGCCTGTGCACCACTGCCCACTGTGGGACACACAAGGCGGCAGCACACTGGTGTGGCTGCCCTGAAGCTATGACATGAAAAGTCACTATCTTTGTGCTGTTAACAGGAAGCCAGCTGGGCCGCACGCACCTGGTTGAGAAAGACACCCAGAGCCCCCGTGGGAGACACACACATACCCCCCCAGGGTCCCACGGAACAAGTAAGCCTCCTCTGACACTGGGAACAGGAAACAGGAACAGTCACCAGGCCAAAGCGGTCACAGATACTCTCTTCCCCGAATAACACAAACGAGCAGGGCTTTTCCTGCTTCGCCCAGAAGGAACAGGGTGGCCAGAGAGCACTGTCTGGCTGTGTTCAGCCCCAGCCTGTTTCTAACAGTGAGACAAACCCTGGATGGAAAAGCGGGGAAGGGACAGAGTGAACTGTTTGGGAAGGAGCCAGGAGACACCAGACCCGTCTCACCCCAACTAGCTGGGTATCATCTCTGAAACCCAGAATTAAGCAGGAATAGACAGCAAAAAGTAAAATGTACATACACACATATAATTTTAGTTTTCTTATGAATTCAGTGGACTTTTTTTAAAATTTGGGTTTGCTTGTAAATGAATGCTTCCAATAAGAAATTAATTCCAATAAGAAATTTTAAAAAGTCATGTGAATCTCTGAAGAGACAGCAGAATCCTATTGTAGCTGTAGTGAAAAGGAGAACTCTTGACCCCTCATCTTTAAGAAAATCGTCTGTTAAGTACAGCTCTCAACTTCGCTAACACTGCTGTGCCCAGGTGTTAACAGCACGGGAGACAAGTCACAGAAAGGGTGGACCCCACGATGACCAGGGAAGAGAGCAGGTGCCACAAAGGAGGAGCCATAGGGAGAGGACTTACTTGGGTGTGCCACTGGGCTTCCAGTACCTACAAAAGAGGTACTGTCCATCTGCGTTGACCAGGTGAGGCAAGTCCTGGTAGGGAACATTCTGTGGAGTTCGCCTGGGAGAATTTGCCTCAGGCATCCTGCTGAGGTCTCCTGGCCCTTGGAAGAAAGGTGGACATATTCTAAAGTCAGAAACACACTCATGCCCATTTGGGAGGAAAGGAAGCAGTGTTCAGAGTCAGGACTGTGGCTTTTTTTTCTAAGCACCTCAATTTGATATATATTTTTTAAAATTACATACATTTCTTGCAAACCTCTCCAAGACTGAAAATCCCATTTGTCCTTAAGAAAATGCTCACTTTATTTTTTTAAAGTGCCTCATTACAGCCCCTCCCATATGTGTTTATTTTAAATCATCTCAGGAAACTTCATCTTAAAGACTGTTTTAGCTGTAATCAAGCAGAAATTATAGTCAGTTCCGTGGGTACAAAGCCCCAGCTGCAAGGACCCATCTCTCCTAAAATCTCCACTGAGTGGATTCTAGGGGGCATAATAAGTAGGTGACGCGCCCCCGAGCGATTTTTCCCTTCTGAATGCCAAAGATGCCATGACAAACCTGTTTCCATTCCGTCCTGGCTTTCGCATTCCACTACCGCCACAGCCTCGAATATCAGCGCCAGGCGAAAGAGGGCTGTTCCCTCATCGCGGCCGCAGGGCAGCACCGCGGGGTCTGCGCCCTCCCCGCCTGTGCTGCAGGGGTGCGAGCAGCTCCCTCCTGCCTCTCCAGCGCTAGCTCATGTCACCACTTTTCCAGAACACACCCCTGAAGGGGTTCCGGGAGCGAGGAACAGCCGGTCCCCAGCTCGGAGCTGCAGCGAGACGCGCTCCGCGGCACCGCGCATTCGCGCAGATGCGGGTCCCCGAGCAAAGTCACCCCGATTCTCCGACAAACTTTGCCTCCTGCCCGCCCGCGACCGCGTGGGGAAGCAAGCCCCGCGGCTGTCATCGGCACGCCACACGCGGCGGGGACTTGGCCAGTGTTCCCACACCGGGCTGAGAAGATGTAGTTGACTGGCACAAGTCGGTTTGGGGGTTGGTGCGAGGGCGCGAGGGGCGCGCTCACGCGCACGAGCTGACACGCGCGCACACTCATGCGCAAGCACACGCGCGCAGGGGACCCCTGGCGGCGGCTCCTATCCTGAGGCAGGGGCGGGAGGCAGTTACCCGGGCCACGAGCGCCGCTGTCACGTCCCCCGAGCACCACGCGGGTCCGGGTCTGCGGCAGGCTAGAGCCAGACTACTGCGCGCGGCCGGCTGCGCGGCGATAGGGCGCGGCGTCTGCGCCGCCACTTTATCCCCAGCCGCTCGGCGGCGGGGGCGGCCCGCTGGGTGGGGACGCGCGGGGAGGCGGCGCCGGGGGCCCACGTGTGCCTGGCCCCCGGGGAGGAGCAGGGCACCGCCCGCCGACCTGCCACGCGCTCTTCCAGGCCCTAAGCGGCAGCCGCAAGGGGAGTGTCACGGGGCCCTGAACCGAACTAAGGGATTCTTCTAGCCCAGGCGCGCAGGCAAAGAGCACTGACCCACACACAGGTACCCTGAAGCAGAAACATGCTCCCAAGTACTGAATGCGCTTGTTAACAGATGCACACGTGCGAGACTCACATTCAGATAGCACAGGTGCGGGCACACCCAAACGGACATAAGGACACATCCTGAGGATTCTTCCCCCAGATGCTAGCTGTAAACTGCTAGTGCTTACTGTGCTGCACACAGGGGCACGTATGAATGCCACGGTTACATGAATACAGGCACACTCCCTAGACATTATACACACAGATAAAAACAATACACCACGTGCACAGAGTAGACTCGAAAACTACAGCTCTTATCTTAAAGAGAATAAGAGGTTATTCTGGAGCCATTTTGCGTGACGATAGCCTGGGAACACAGACTTAGGTTACCTCAAATTCCATGTTCCAAAATGGAAGCAGTTTCGGGAAGTTTTTATGGTTTTACAGAACAGAAGAAGTCACAAATCAAGGCAAGTTTAAAATACATTTGAGGGGTACACCAGAGAGACAGGCACCAGAGATAGGGAAGTTTCCTACAGGTTCAAGATGCTCTCCCAAGGCATTCTTGGCTTTTGGGTTGGAAGAAGCTAGCTGTCCTGTTAAATCTGTAGAGTCTAAAAGGGTTTTATCTATTGTCACAGATGTTAGTTCCGACAAGAAAGGGAAAGGAAGGAATGGCTATTCCAGAGGACCAGAATTTCTCCCAAGAAAGGGTAATACCTCTTTGAACCTGCAACATTTCAACCTCTCCCGCAGTCCTGAAATACTAATCAGTCAGTATCTGCAGACAGTTTCCTTTTAGGTCTCCTTCACAGCCAGACACAGCAGCTTCTGTCCGGAACAGAGATGAACAGCACACCACACACACCAAGACAGGCATTCACACACAAGTTCTTAGAACCCCGGAGAAGGAAACAGACCTCTCTCTCTCTCTCTCTCTCTCTCTCTCTCTCTCTCTCTCTCTCTCTCACACACACACACACACACACACACACACACACTCCATGAAGCCTCTTCTCCTAGGTGCCCCAAGAGCAGGGTCCCACCAGCACAGCTGGCTATGTGGCTGTGGAGAGTCTGGAATGCGGCCCTAAATTTACAGCCTGTCCACTGTGTCCTAGGCCTGACACCTGTGAGTGACAGCTGCAGTGGAGCCGGAGGGATGACCCTGACCCCTACCCACCTCCACAGACCTTCCAGAGCTTTCTTCTAGGCCAACCACTTTGCCAAACAGCAGTATTGAATAGTACCACTGTTGTGTGACTCAGTGGTAGTGACCATGGAAGTGAGGCTGCGGCAGAGCCTGCAATCTAACTGAAGAGAGGACAGTCTGGTTGTAAACCACACACCGAGGGATCTAGGCCACCCTCTGCCTTAGGCGGGTCTCCAGGGCTTGGACACAGAAGGAGTGGCTAAATGACTTCTTGGGGCTGGGGCTTTTTGTTTCGTTTGTTTTTTCTGGCAGACTTGGGTTAGGGGCAGCAGCCTCAGGGGAGGGCCTGGGAGCCCAGTCTCAAAGCTGGATTGGGCCAGTTAGGTACACACCACTGTTCACTTTACTGAAAGCGTGGCTAGATCCAGCAGCACCAGTGTTTTCTGATTTTTCAAGAGTTAAGTTTTGAGAAGAGAGGTCACTGGGGCCATTAACAGTATCTCTCCTGAATCCAGAGCTGCTCCCACTTGAACGCCGAGATTAGGGCCTGGATGCAGTTCCATACCCTTAGTCTGGTTATTCAGGGAGTGCATTTGGCCATCCCAAGAGGCCATAAATTCCTTCCCATCCCGAGCAATAATGGTTTTACAGAGTTCAGATTTGCCAGGGGAAAGACCATAGATTTGAACCAAATTATAATTAAATCATTTTATTAGTTATTGCTAGCAAGCTGACAGCCTTAAAACCAAAGAGGCTAGGGGAAGGAGTTTAAAAGTGGGCACCATAGTCATCTCGTTTGTGTGGAGTGTGAGAAATTTCATTTATTCCCCTTGGTTGTGAGGCACTGTCTCTCTTACCCTGTATACATCGATAAAGGAGCTGCCTGGTGCACAGTGATAAGTGTGTTTACAAAAGCCAGAGCAAGCAGTGAATCATCTCACAGCACTTTTACATTTTGGGGAAGGGGCAAGGAGTCAGAATTTCTGTGAACTTATCTTTTAGGAATTTAGAATGGGTGCACAGAACAAAATGGAGTCTCCCTTAGCTATCACAGTGGGACCCAGGGAGAGGGAGGAAGAAGCTAGGTTAGCTGCCTCTAATGGTAATGTCTTACAAAACTACAGTGCAATATCATGGTGATAGTGGGTTTACTTTTTATTTTTTATTTTATTAATTTTTCTGAGAAAGTGTCCCACTCTGTAGCCCTGGGTGACTTGGAACTCAGATAGCCACCTGCCTTTGCCTCCCAAGTGCTGGGATCAAAGATGTATGCTGGTGCGGGACAATGGTCTATATCTTGTCAATTATGTTTTAAATAAATGCTGATTGGCCAGTAGCCAGGCAGGAAGTATAGGCGGGACAACCAGACAGGAAGTAGAGGCGGGTCAATGAGGACAAGAGAATTTGGGAAGAAGGAAGCCCATTCTTCCCCAATTCTGTCCAGACACTGAAGAAGGAAAATGTGACCTACCCTGCTGAAAAAGGTACGGAGCCATGTGGCTAACATAGACAAGAATAATGGGCTAATAAAAGTTATAAGAGTTAATAAGAAGCCTGAGCTAATGGGCCAATTAGTTTATAACTTATGTAGACCTCTGTGTGATTTTCTTTGGGACCTAAGGACTGTGGGAACTGGCAGGACAGAAACCTCTTAACAACAGTATGCCACCATGCCCACACAACATTGGATTTATACAATCAAGAAAGGGTGTCTCCATCCACTGAGACCTCTCCTGGCACTTGTTATAGCCACATTTCCCTCCCTTTTCTCTTTTCCCACAACCTCTGGCAGGCATGGCTTTGTGTCTATTTCTAAATTTCTGTCATCTCAGGGTGTTTTGTTTTGGAATCATGAGGTAGATCTGAACTATCTGGCGTCACTTTCTGGCTTACACGCACTACAGAACTACCCAGTTCACCTGGTAAAGGACAGTTCATCTGTTTGTTTTCTAGTTTACAGCTAGTTCTAAATGAAGCTACTGTGTACACTGGCTAGGCAGTGAAGCAAGCTCATCGTCCCAGCCTTCGGGAGTGTTAACACAGGATTAATTGGAGTTCAAGGTCAGCCTGGTCTGCACAGCTAGACCCTATTTGTCTCAAATAAACAGGAAAGGAAAAGGAAATTTCTTGTTTAGTTTTCTAAACAACTGATAAAATGTTTTCCAAAGTGAGTATATCTGTTTACATTCCCACTGTTGTTGCCATGAAAATAATGTTTAAAATTTTTAAAAATTTTATGTGTATATAAGTGTGCCTGGGTATATGTAATGTGCACTACATTTATGCAGGAACCTAAGTAGGTCAGAAAAGGGCATTAGGCCTCCTGGAACTGGAGTTCTAGATAGATGGCTGTGGACTGCCATGTGGGTGCTAGGGACTAAGCCCGGGGCCTCTGCAAGAATAGCCAGTGATCTTAACTGCTGAACCATCTCTCCACCTTCCATCCCCATTTTTTTAAAGCCCATCTGTTGTGCGTCTTATGTTTTTATCTGCATTTGCCTGATAGCTTATGTTGCTACATGTCTTTCCACGAATCTGTTTTCTCTTTATACTAGTGAAATGCCTCATTGTGCCCTCTGACCACAGTCTTACTGTGTGTTCTTAAACCATTGAGTTCTGAGTCCTCTGGATGTATGAGAGATGCCAGTCCTGTGTCAGACGTGTGATTGGCACATATTTGCTCCTGATTTATAGCCCATCTCTTCAGCCTCTTCAGAGGGTCATTTGCACAGTAATAGCTTTAATTTGGGTCATAAACAAATCTTTAGTGTTTGCTTTAGTGGATCATGTATTTAGTGTTGAGAGAAGTCTTTGCTTAGTCCTACATTTGAGAGTATTCGATCATATTGAGAGTCATATTGTTTTACATTTTATGGTTAACGTGTGGGATTTAGTTCAAGTTTTTTGTTTTGGTTTTGTCCACATATATCAACATATAGTTGTTCCTGCACTTTTAAAAGGGTTAAAGTTTTTCTTCCCATGAATTATTTTTCCACTTTTTTCAAAATTGGTCTTTCTGTATGAGTCTGTTTCTGGCTCCCCCTTCTACCCCATTAGTTTGTGTCAGCTTCTCTGGCAATATCATTGATAACACCATGGCCTTGGTTGTTGAAGTTCTCTAACAAACTTAGACTTCTATATACTGATAATCCATATTTCACAAGATTGGTTCAGTTACTCTAGTTTCTTTATCTATTTTTATTTTATTTTATGTGCATTGGTGTGAGGGTGTCAGATCCCCTGGAATGGA